TAGTTAAGACTACAGACTGCATGGATTGACTGCCTACTCTTATTTTAGTTTTTAATATGACATTTTACCAAACATCTATTTAAACCATAAGAACCTTCAAATCAATGCAAACGTAATATATGAAAATACCCGACAACACACACACTTATTGTGCATATATGTAGTTTGAAACAAAATGTCTGCTGAAAGTCAGAATCGATATTTCACTCATTCAATTTTACTGAGGTGTGTTGTCAGAAACTAATATTATATATAGAAATTACAGTTTCAGTCACTATTCCTTGGATGTAAACTGATGTGTACATATTTTATTAAGCAACACATAAAAAAAAAAGTTGTTGGTGGGCATCGTTGGCTAGAGAATTAGGTCGAGGGAAATAATACTATAATTGTTTTCTCGGAAAGAATTAACAGTTGGATAAAATATTATTAATTTCAGTCTTTACTACTTCGTACGATTATTTTAGAAAAACGATTTTTTTTTGTGCAATGCAAAAATCTGGGATAAGATGGATTTAGCGGGGTTTATAATAACAACAGTTCTAAAGTCACTTTCCTGATTATTTCTCATGCACAATTTGAATTATGAAATCGCATTACACTTTCGAATGAAAGCGCGATATCTGGATATGGTTACCAGTACGTATCACTACTAATAGCACTAAAAATACATGTACAGTAGCTTGTGAGTAAAATAAAAACAAGCTGTTTTCTTAAAAGTGAAAACTCGGTGCAGTTCTGACGTATGTGAAGCAATCAATATGTATGCTAAGTTTACAGACAGGAATCACCACAGGAAAGTGATAATAATGTCCAACCAGTAGCTTTGCAAATATATTTTGCTAGTATTCATTTGAGACTTAAGCTCAAAACAATCTAGCCGTCGTATGTATGTTGATGTTGTTTTTCAGAAAAAAAATGTTCTTTCCTCGTAAGCATCACACACCATTTATCGTGTAGTACAAACGCAGAATAATTGAGCCCAAATACGTAGTAACTTAATGACTTTTTTGTATGAGATTTGTTAGTCTCAATTGTATACGAGCTCTTCGTTCAATACAAGTAAGCAAATGTCTCTATACTTGACAGTTAAAATATTAATATCTAGATAAGGTATCTGTGGGCCGAGCGTGGAACTGTGGTTAGTGTGCAGGATTACGAATCTGTGGGTCTCAAGCTTGTGTACCAATATCAAAAAAAAGAAAGAAAATAGCGTTCTCCTTTTTCAGGCCATAGATGCGTTATGCGGGTGATGATCAGATCCAAGTTTTCGGTAAAAATAAGTACCTAAGAGTTTGCGGGGAGTGATGTTAACTAAATGCCTTCCCTCTCTAGTTTACCACTTCAAAATTAGGGACGGCTAGCCCACAGAGCCCTTAAGTAGTTAACTTTTGGTTGCTGTTGACTAAATGCCTTCCCTCTAGTTTACCACTTCAAAATTAGGGACGGCTAGCCCACAGAGCCCTTAAGTAGTTAACTTTTGGTTGCTGTTGACTAAATGCCTTCCCTCTAGTTTACCACTTCAAAATTAGGGACGGCTAGCCCACAGAGCCCTTAAGTAGTTGACTTTTGGTTGCTGTTGGCTAGCTACCTTTCCTCTTGTCTACGAGTACAAAATTAGGGATGCTAGTGCAGATAGCCTTTCAGTAGTTTTGCGCGAGTGTCTGAAAAATAATTTTCTACCTCTTCGTATTTAGAAGTTGAGGGGTTCTCGTTTTTTCTATGCTCTTCCTGACCTTTTTTTTGTAAAAAAAAAGTTATTGGTGTACGTTATCTGAAGCCGTTAATCCGAAGTTATTGGTGTACGTTATCTGAAGCCATTAATCTGAAGTTATTGGTGTACGTTATCTGAAGCCATTAATATCTTACGTCGATAGCTAAAGGATATTTTTAAAAAACTACTTGTTCGATCCTTCGTGTAATCAAAATGCAGTGGAATTATATCTATGTACTGGGCTACAGGGCGCCACTGCGGCAAGAAACTTAAAACTATAAACTGAAATAAATGTTACTTAAATTCATTAATGAAGAAATATGACTACGTTGTATAATTTATCAACAGGGTTGTTTGCGGTAATAGTAAACAAAGTTTATTCTAATATTAAGAAAAAGAACTAGAATGAATTAACGTGGATACTTTGTTAAGCGTACAAGTCTAAAGTTCCAGCTAGCTAATACCCAAAGGAGAGAACAACCAAAATAACAAAAAACTGAATGTAAGTGGTTCAAATATTTCTTTATTAATGAATAAAAATATTTAAAATTTTGGATATCAAATCAAATACTATTTCTTTCTGAATAACTCCTTAATGTCAAAGCGTTCCACCATTGTTTATTTTAAGCCAATGTTTTTCAAGCAACCAAACCCAGACATAATCTTATACCTTTGCATATTAATGAAGTTATAATCGGGGAAGGGGGCAAAGCAAGAAATCCAGATCACTCTGTAATTCTTGATTGGATGAACAAACGTTATTAAAACCTCATATACAAGCATTCCTAAACTAACATTATTCTTACACATTTTAAAGGCATTCTTCTAATACATATTTACACATTATCCCAGGCAGTTCATTCAATCAATTAATGAATGTTCTTAAAACAACCTATAAACGGTAATGAATATCATACCACAAAAGGCTGATAATATTTGAATAATTTCACTCTTTACTTGGCCTTCAGAGATATTACTATGATAAATCAGTTACTATTTTTACAACAGTGAAGACGGTCGTTGAAATTTTTACTAGAAACTTGTGAGTGAAATAAAACAACGCTAAAATAGAACCCTGTAATATAATGATTTGACATGTATGAATTCATCTATGCCAACATTGACGTATTCTTGTTACTTATTCTTCTTGAACTGATCGTTCATTTTACATAATTAACTTTACTGTACTTATCATATTACTACAAAACGTTATGTCTATAAAAATACGGCAACAAGCTTGTCGTCAAACATGCACTTATTACATTAAGTGTTCAAACTTAAGATCTTTTCTGGGGTCCCAAAACATTACAAGTTACACTGACAAGTTTTTGAATAGATTCGACATTTTCAACCTAGAACATTCAGTGAAGTAAGAATTAAATGATTCCCACCTTTAGATAGCATTATAGGAATTTGCAACTTATAAAATATCAAGTACGATAATTTTACATTCTCCTTTGTGTTTTTTAATTGTTACTCATTTTACTAATAAACTTCGATTTAAGAACACTAGGAAACATCTTTCTTTGCCTAACTGTGCAGTAGTACTGTGAAACAGGTATGTAGGGGCTACAAAAGATTTTTCGTTTAGCGGCATGATGTTACTATAGACGTTTAATTAAAACATAAACCCTGAATTAATTTCCATATATATTACATATGACAATAACATTTTATGGCCACAGAATCTATAAAAAGCCGCCAATACACAATTTTTAATTAAATTTTCCACATACTTCCCTCAACGTTCGTGAGACAATTAATTATGGAAAGTCAGCACAACGTCCAAGCAATAGACATTGGTATAGATGTAATTAATACGTGCTCTTAGTCATTATGATACACAGCGTTCTTTGTCGAATGTTAAGGCTGAAAAGAAATCATCTTAGTTTTTAAACTAATGCATACAAATGATTAATTTTTAAGACCGTTCATTATTCAAAAACCTGAGTTAGCTATTCAAGTGTTTTTTCTGTACGCACATCCTTCTGATATCAGGATAGACAGTTGAAAACTAATTATTTTCAAGACTTAAGTAATATAAGTAATCAGATTGGTACTAAATGCACAAAAAGTTATGAAAAACAGATATTAGAGAATAATCTGTTATCAAAATATCATAAACTGCGTGGAATTTAGTATAAACTTAGACTTATATAGGATCTTAACTTAGAACAAATGTTGTGCCTGGAGTGTCTCCTCCAAACTAAGACATAATAAGCATCAAAATCAATGTTTTACGGATATTATTAAACACATAAATTCTGAAATATTTATAAAAAATGTTTCTGACAGTAGTCAAAAATGAAACTAAAAATGCACAAATAAATAAACGTCTGAAAGTTAATTTTAATCTTCAGAACAGAATCATATAGCTGAGTATAAAACTAAATACAGATTAATTTTATGAAACATCCAAATGAGGTTCGTCATTTGCAGCATTTACAAGTTCATTAAGGTTTGGTTTGCATTGAATTTCGCGCAAAGCTACACTAGGGCTATCTTAGCTAGCCGTCCCCAATTTAGCAGTGTAAGACTAGAGGGAAGGC